AATAACAATTAATTTTAGTAGAACTCCATTATCTTGTAATATATAACAGCATAATAGCCTGGGACAAAGTCCATTGGGCCCAAAGGACATTAGAATGTAATACCAATGGTGTGAAACAGAGGTACATCCAGGTGTGTTGACAGATTTTAGTCTTTCTTCCCACTCAATATGAATTTAGTCTTTACTGGCTAAGGAATTTTCAGCAACAAGACTGAAGGCAAATGTCCTTATTGGATTTTAAGTATGGGTTTAGTATCAAAGGTGAGAACCTAGTCAGAATCAAGATCTTTCAAGAAACAATACCTCAAGCCTGGAGCTAAAAAGACCTTAGAACCTAGTTGGAATCAAGGTCTTTTTGGCTTTCCCTCATTTTCTTTCTGATCATATTGATAGTCTCATACCTTTCTAAGACTGCCTCCTGATCATGAGACAACTCAAGTTTTGCAAGTTTTTTTTTCTTAAATTTTGACCCAGGGATCCAAAGTAAAAGATATATGGAATAGCCAACACTGCCATAGTAGTAAGAACAGAATGCCCAAATTATTATATGGACATCAGTGGAAAAGGGCAACAAGGAGCCCATGACCTGTCCCTTGTTTTGGAAATCATACTGAAGAATTAAAAAGACTTTTCTCTGTGGTTCAGAATGGTAAAAACATAAAGACTGTGCCCAGGGCCCTAGCCAGTAATAAAGTAAGCATGGTCCTGGAGTGATCTCTGAGTTTATGTGACTTAAATTTCAGAGTGAACAACAGGCAGATGTTCAGCTGAAGGACAGCAATTCCTCACTGTACCCTGCCATGTCCTTACATGCCCAAACCACAGTAGAGATCATCTCTCCCTCTATGTACCACAACAGTGTGTCAGTACCCTGTATCTCTCTACCTGCCTAAGGGGAGAAAAGCAAACACTCATCCTTGCATCCCCAATGCCTAACACTTATTTCCCATTCAACAAGTGCTGCAGCCAAGAGATACCTCCTATTGCTGCACAGGTTCTTATTAACCATTATCACTTTGTTCAAAATCTTTCAGAACCCTGTTATGTGTCACTGTATTGAGTCCAAACCCACATACCTAATTTCTAATGCACTTCATGTTATGTGATGGATAGATTTCCCCAAGATAAGGACTCAAGTGGTTTTTCTTTCTTGCTATTGTTTCTAACATATTTATAAGGTGATTTTTTTGTTGCTTTGTATGTCCCTCCCCCACGGTATAGCCCCTGTTTTCACTGTATTTGATGTTGGTATAATTTGGGGAGGGGAAGGGAAAAAACAAAGTGTTTAAATAGGGATACAGGTGGACTCATTGTAACAATGAGATGTACAAGATGTTATGTTGAAAAACGAACTTTACAACTTTGGTGGGCGTGGGGGAGGGGTGCTGGGAGGGTAGGGATGGGAAGGGAAACTAAGGAGGAGGCAACAATGCTTGGTAAGAAATGAACTCATTACCTTGCTCATGTAATTGTAACCCCTCTGTGCAGTATTTTCACAATAAAAAACACTTATTAATTAAAAAAAGATATTGTACAAAGGAGTTACAGTTACATGAGTAAGGTAATGAGTACATTTCCTCTTGAGCATTGTTACCCCCTTCCCTTCTTTGTTTTTCCCCAAAGCCATCCCTTCCCTCCCAACTCCCCAACTCCTCCCTTCCCACCCCCCAAGTTGTAGAGTTCATTTTTAACATTATTATTATTATTATTATTCTTAAGTAGTTGTACAAAGAAGTTCCCATTCTACAAAACAGTATATGAGTACAAGATGTCTGACAACAATGTTACCCATCGCTCCTAATCCATCCCTTCTCTCACTTTTTTTAAATTGAGATTAGGTGATTATGTAAGTTTCACATATTTCACAGCATTGTGGAATAGTAATACTTAAAGTCACAAACACATTTTAACCTTCACAAGGTAAATTGTCTTTATCGTGGTCTAAAAAGTTTGTGAATTCTATGAGCTTTGACAATACAATTATTTCTTCCACATCAGGTGATGATTACATTTCTTTCCTTTTGCTTAGTGTAGGCTGTTCCCTCCTTCCCTCTTATTCCTCCCATCCCATCCCTGTCTTTGGGTTGCTTAGTTCTTTTTCTTCTATGTCCAGTGCAGCTGATGGGTCCCTTTGTTGTGTGTTATTCCATTTCCACTTATTCTGCGTCCTCCTCCTGGCTTCCCTCCATTGCATGCAACATAGTGTCTTGTACATCTCATTGTTACAATAGGTCTGCCTGTATTCTTATTTCAGTGTTTTGTTATTTCCCTTTCCCTCCCCAAATTAGAAAAAAACTGTATATACAAGAAACAAAAGCAGCAAAGATAAACTCTCTTATGTCTCTATCTTGGGGTTCATTTCGCTTAGTACCATCTTATATGGTCATATGTGGATAGCTTTTGGCCTTTTTTACTTGTCTGGTAAGGTTATCCTACACATATACTAGTTATTGCAAATAACGGAAACCATGGGACCTATGTGTCTTTGAGACTGGCTTACTTCATTTAGTGTAATTTTTTTCAAGTCTTTCCCTTTCCTAACAAATGGAGTGGAATCATTCTTCCTGATGGAGGCATAGAATTCCATATATATATATATATATATATATATATATATATATATATATCAGTTTCTTGGTCCATTCATCTACTGAGGGGCATCTGGGTTGGTAGAAGTCCTGCAGCTTTTGTTTCTACTCCCTTGTAATTCTGAAGTAACATAAAGAAATTTGGTTTTCCTAAGATAGATATCGGATAGAGTTTCTAGAAGCAAAAGACTGAGGAAAAAGAAGTCTTAGTATTGAGTTAGAGCAGTGGGACACCAGTCTTGTGAACGAGGCCATCTTGGATTCTACAGCTGGAATAAGCAGCCATAGCAGACATGACCTGGTCCAGCTGAGCCCCATCCAGCCAAGTATCAAATCATGAGGAAATACAATGACTCGTTAAGTCATTAAGTTTCAGGCTAGTCTGGTACACAGCAAAGGATTACTGGTATATTACATGTACTGTTCCATATTAATTTTTAAAAATAAATATGCTCACATGCTAACCATGAGCCCTCTCATTTCCCACCTCACCCCCATCCATCTAATGTCTTCATTCATCTTGCTGATTATAGAATATCCAACAATGCAATGCAAAATTGGTGTAAATCAATGCAAAATCAGGGCAAAGTGCTTAGAATGTGAAATCACCAATCTAGTAAAATGCATAGGAAATCATGAAGTTGATGAAGGTAATACTAAAGAAGCCCTTGAATCATGGGCAACTCCTCTGACAAATGAGACTCTGCAGCTGGAACAGTTAACATTTTGAAGGAGACGAAATCAACATGGATGATGGCACAATAAGTGCTTCAAAGGGGAATGATTTGAATGTCAAACTTTAAGAGAGGCTCTTGGAAAATTGATGAAGCCCTCCAATATTTTTGAAATAATGACACTCTATGATTTACCCACAGAAGTCAAATGTAAAAGGATATGATATCATCGTATCATATAATTTTGTTGGAAAATTATGCTTCTCAAAATCAACGCTTAATTCATCTTTTGTTTTATATATCTTTATAATAGCTAGGTTTTATTAAACCTAAGGTAAATTAATTTTAATAATTCTCCTATTTTAATTTAAAAAAGATAGTCTTATTCAAATCTTCTTCTCCCTCCTTAGTCCATGTTTCCAAAGTATTTTCCCTAAGTGGGTTTTGGGGAAGCTGATTATCTGAAGAAATTGTGAGCCTCTGTAACTGTCTTTACTTCATCTATTTAACTAGTAAGTATACTCAGCAAGGGTGGGTCTTGCATCATGCCTTGTAAATATCCACTGCATAAAGCATAAGACCGGTCTCGATAACTGTGACAACAACTGGCCTGCTGCAGATAGACTGGGTCACACATAAATGTTGCCACTGAAGAATAGCACCCTTCCTTTAATCACCTTTGACCCAGTATGAGCTGGTATTGTTCTCAAAAGTCTTCATAGAGGTCCTATTACAAACTTCCTGGTGAAAGCACTTTCAAAGGCATGTTGTGTCATTTTAAGAATAAGTCCCACATCCCAAAGTCCTGGCTAAGAAGGACCACATTCGAGCACAGGTGTACCACTTCACTCAGCAGGAATTTGGACATGTCAAACATTAGAACCACTCCAACTCAGCCTACTTGGTAGTCAGTCACACTTCTGGGTACATGTCAATAAACACCTTGCAAAGATGGGAGATCAGAGAAACTCTCTCAGCATAAATTCCAATTAGCTAAGACAAATCAACACACTGCCTTCTTAAAAGAAATTACTTAGGGTCTTTCTTTTGATCATCTCAAAAACAAAGAAAAAAATAAAACTATGCTATCAAAAAAAGTGTTCCCTCAGAAGAATTTCCATCTCTTATAAAATAATCCATAACATATATTACTTGTTTTAAGATCCCTGAAGTTCAGTCTCCTTCAATGTATATTTCATCCCCTTTTGCAAGAGTAATAAGAACTGGACTGTTTTCCCTGACATTATCTGATTTACTTCCCTTCCTTTGCAAAGGAGAAACTAAACATCACAAACTTGGCTTTTCCCCTCCCAGTAGAGTACCCTGTGTTCTGCAACCTATCAGTCAGTTCTGGGGCAAATGCAGACAATATTTTCCGTTACAACCACTTGTATCCAGGAAAAAAATAAATCAGACAACTCTGTAACATAGCAGCCAGAGAAAAGTTTACTAGCTTTAGCCAATTGGAAGCTCTGGAGCTCTGCCAAGTTAACATGTTTTTCTCCGCCTCTAGATGAAGTCATGATTGAAATATGGCATTGAACTTGTTTTAAAAAGGAAAGGGGAGTAAGGGTGGGGGGAACTAAACCTGCAGCAAAGTGCCCTGGACTGTGGAGAATGTGCTTAGGAAATGTGTGTGTGTGCTTCTGAACTCTGAGTGGCTCTCCCTTCTGTAACCTTCGCCTCCCACTGGGTGGAGTAGAGCCTTTAATAGCAGCTGGAATGCAGTTCCCCTGATCAGCTTGGCCAGTTGTTGCCTGGCTGAATCTCTGCCACTCCTGGAGAGTGAGTGGTGCTCAGAGCTCAAACCAGCAGAGACAACTTCTGTATCCTCACCACTGGCCCCCCTGCTCTCCACGCAAGAAGCTCCGGCACTGAAGCAACCATGGGAGAGGATGCCACACAAGCTGAAAAGTTCCAGCATACAAATGCTGACATGCTCCAGGAAAAGCCATCAAGCCCCAGCCCCATGCCTTCCTCAACGCCAAGCCCCAGCCTGAATCTAGGGAGCACAGACGAGGCCATCCGGGACAACTCCCAGGTGAATGCTGTCACAGTGCACACGCTCCTAGACAAGCTGGTGAACATGCTAGACACCGTGCAAGAGAACCAGCGTAAGATGGAGCAGCGGCAGATCAGCCTGGAGGGCTCGGTGAAGGGCATCCAGAACGACCTCACCAAGCTCTCCAAGTACCAGGCCTCCACCAGCAACACCGTGAGCAAGCTGCTGGAGAAGTCTCGCAAAGTCAGCGCCCACACGCGGGCTGTCAAGGAGCGCCTGGAGAGACAGTGCGCTCAGGTGAAGAGACTGGAAAACAACCATGCCCAGCTCCTGAGACGCAATCATTTCAAAGTGCTCATCTTCCAGGTCAGTGTCCCCCCTCTTCCTCCTCAGCCTTGCGGCTCGGACTCTTCTTCAACATTGATGATCTCAGTCCTCCCTGGCTCTCACAGCCAATTTCACATCTGTGCTGCCAGTCAGGGGTGGATAGCATGACATGCACACACACAAGGCTTTTTCTCTTTCCAGCCTGTAGCAGGCAAAGTGTGAAATCCACAGCCTGCAGTGGGAATTTCCCAGGTCACCTCAGCCCAAACCTGAGGTGTGTGCCTGTCCACTTAGTAGAATAGGATCATTAGTCAAGGAACATCTGGATGGCCTCCAGACAGATTGGGGAAAGGTGCAGGTGTTGTACCCATACCAGTCAAATTATTTGTCTTTTTGCATTAGGAACTTGGGGCTCTGGCTGTAGCTCTTAGCTGGACAGGGAAATTTAATTCAGTAGCTGCTTTGTCAACTCTTTGTAGACCTGAGGTAATCAAGTGATTTCTTTGGTTTGGTTTTTAACCATTTTTAACCATTAAACTATCTCTATTTACGGAGGCCACCAGGGTTGGGGGACTAACCAAATGGAGAACTGGTTCTGCTCAAGATGAACTAGCATTCTTCTCTTAAAGCACTTTGGGCAAAGCAATTCTGAGTTTTTTTCTAACAAACAAAACACTAAGAAAATGTAGGGCGTAACACTTTACCAACACACTAGATAAGTCTCTCACCACTCAGAGAGACCACAAACTGTTAAGCCAAAGAAAACCGAGTGTTATCAGTTGCTGTCCTAAAGGCTAGTCTTGAATATTTTCTCCTTCAAAAGGTTCCTGTAGAATAAAAAGCCCACTTAATTTTCTTAATGCATCAATGATGCAATTAATGTAGCAAGAGGCTACTTGGGGACAGGAGATTGCGTGGGGCTGTTGTTCTGCCAAGTGGTGGGCATTTGTGAATCCAAGGGCAGTCCTGCCTAGTGCTGGAAGCCCTTCCGCCCAGTGGCACCCAGCCAGCTGCAGAGCCCAGGAAGCTTTTCCATCCTGCCTTGGGGCTGACTCCTTGTGACCATGTGAATAGAAGAGGATTTCAAAGGCATGGCGGGGAGAGGCTGTAACCAACACTTTGATTGTGAAAGCGACACAGGGGCAGCCTTCATCTCCCAAGAGAAATTGAGAAATTGGGATTTTCAAATAAGGAAGCCTTCTTTTTCTAAATGAATCTACTCTGCCAAGTCAGAGCCTAAGCCTTCCTCTCCCCATAAAAGGGAAGACTCATCTTGCTGCTTTTTTGTCCACCCTAAATGGCACTTGAGTGTTAGAAAGGTTCAGACCATTGATACCCTCCTATATCTTGCGGGCCTTTGCAGCCAGCAAACCTTTTCAGTTTTTAATGTGAATGCTTTTTATGTACCTGATGAACTGAAAAAAGAGATATGGTAAGCCGTTTGAGTTCCCTACTTCATTAGCCTAAAAGTTATTAGGAACCTCAACTCTCAAGGCATTTCTAAATTAAATAATGTTCTCCAAACAAAAGCAAGCATGTACAGACCTGTTTAAACCTGAGTCACCAAAGGAAATATTCCTTCTTCCAGTGTGAATTGGGAAGATTATCTCTCATCTCATCCTGTGATTTAGGAGGGAGGGGAGTATTTATCTAGTAAAAGGAAAAATCACAATTTGTCAGGATTGGTTTTTGCTTTGTTTTGCCACAGATGTTCTACAGATATGGTGGTGGGGGGAGAGGGCAGAGACTGGGAAGATATGTGACTAGAAATTCAGAAAACTATGAATCTGACATTTTAGTGAAGGAAAAAACCCACACAACTGTTTGGGAACTTAAGGCACATGCTCTTGATGAGGGCCTGACATACTCACCTGTTTTGTTACATTGGATTGACAGGTGTGAAATTGCTGCCAAAAATGGTAGGAATTCTTCACTTAGTGAAAAAAGGCTGAAACAAAGGTACTGAAGACCAAAATTGAAGCTAAAAGAAGCTAAGGCAATGTGCTCGGCCTCCATTCTGATGCTAGCTAGCATCCCTCCAGAGATAAGAAACAAGGAGCACCCAGTTTCTTTAACAGTGGAATAACTTTTCTGAGCCTAAAGTATATTGGAAATTCCGATTCTTAAAATACTATAAAAATAGTTGGGGGGCAGGGAAGTTGGCTCAGTGGTACAGCGTTTGCCTTGCATGCCTGAGGCCCTGGGTTCGATTCCTCAGCACCACATAAGCAAAAAGAAAAAAGCCGGAAGTGGCACTATGGCTCAAGTGGTAGAGCGCTAGCCTTGCGCTAAAGAGCTGAGGGACAGCGCCCAGGCCCAGAGTTCTGGCCCCACAACTGGACCCCCCCCCAAAAAAAGTTGGGGAAACAAATGCAAATTTTGTCCTCATATTGTCCTGACTTTGTGCTTTCATAAAGCAGGAATTTCAATCAGGTCATAATTGCAGAAATGATAAAGAAATAATCAGTTATGTTAAAGAGTCATCCAATATAGTGATTGAAAAGATAAATGTAGGAATCATACAGAATGCTGGTTCAAATCCTAGCGCTATCACTTTTCAACTGCATGATCTTGGATACCATTTCTATCTTATTCTTATCTGTTTCTTCATGAACACACTGGAAAATATTAATACACATTTAAAAATCTAAATTCCTTTAATGCCCTGTGCACACAGCTGAGGCTCTTTCTGTGTATTTTCTCTTGTATTCCCAACTTACAGATCGGGATGCTTCGATTCAGTTTATATAGCTCATCTGAAGTTGTTTAGTAAAGAAGCAGTGAAATTAGAATTCAAGCTCATGTTTAATTGGTCCCAGGACATATCTTCTTAACCACTAATGCTTCCTTCCTCATATCTCTCTCATATACTGAAGGATAGAGCAAATAACCTATTTAGAATGGTTAGCTCAGACTGACACGATGTAAATGCTCAGTGCATAGAAGCTATTACTGAGTGGGTCTGAAAGGCATTTATTTGCTCAGAGAGACGGCCATGCTTTTACTTAGTTAGAAATGTGGCTTTTGAGCCAAAACTGACTCCACCCTTCTCAGGATCTTCAAGCAGCATACTTATGTTTTTAAGTTAAAAATTATTAATACATAAACAGATACACAAACTGCCACCACCAATCAGGTACCAACTGTCATGTCAAAATCAACATCATGTTACAACTCCATGAAAGAAAAGGACTCTACCCAAAAGACTATTCTAATTGGCCCATCTAGTAGCAGGACATTCTTCAGCATGTGGCAGTAGTCTTAGACCTATATAGGGAATATGGAGGGCAGATGCATTCTGGGTACCAATTTGTGCAAGTAATTTGTCATTTTCAGTCCACTTGAACCTTACTTTCCCTTACTAAAACCATTTATTTTCTAGCTAAAGACAAAAAATGTGTGAAAATAAAAAGAAGGTGAGAAAAAAGCTGACAGGTGAATTTAGTAGTATAGTGTTAAGATTACATTCTACTTTGTAAAATCCTATCACAGCCTCCAAATTTACAAGTGATTGATTGGTTGGTTGGTTGGTTTACTTGATGCTTACATATTTGCATTCTTTCATCCCAAACTTTGTTCTTAATCTTCCACCTGTAAAATATGTCCCTGGGCTGGGAAGGTGGCTCAGTGGTAGAGTGCTTGACTTGCATGCATGAAGCCCTGGGTTCGATTCCTCAGCACCACACAAAGCAGAAAAAGCCACACGTGGTGCTGTGACTCTAGTGGTAGAGCATTAGCCTTGCGCTGAAATAGCTGAGGGACAGTGCCCAGGCCCAGAGTTGAGGCTCCATAACCAACAAAAAAGAAGAAAGTAAAAAAGAAAAAAAAGTCCCTTATTCATTGAAGTTTGTACTAAACTTCACTACATTGTAAAGCATGTAATTCTTCAGTACTTGCTTCATATTGTAGCCAGTAGTATCTAAAAGCAGAGGAACATTTATCTCTCGTTGATCAACAAAATAAAAATTCAAGCTCTGGTTAAACTCAGCAGCTTTCCTTTTAAACAGTGCTGTAATCGCTTTAAGAACAATGTTTGAATTCAAAATACTGTGACCAAAACACTGTGTCCAAGTATAAATGATATAACACTCACAGGAAATGTTCATCAAAGGGGGAATGCTAAAGAAATACAAAGATTAATGCTTTGCTGTAAGCATGACTTTTACTGAAAATAAAGCATACAGAAAATCAGTAAATTCAGTTAGAGGGAATTTTCTTTGCTGGTGGAAGAGGCTAGAATTCCAAAAGTAACTGGCTCTGGAGGTGTTGTATCTACTTAAGTTTCTAGTAAAGATCATGTGAAAAAGCAGTTTGGGAATAATTTCAAATCCAAGCAACAAAATGAGAATACTCATGACCAGCTTACACTTTCATCCACATAAAATTGTGAAATTGGGTGAAAAAAGTAGAGGTTAGATATTTCTAGTGGATATGTTTCTGGAGAAAGAAGCCTATAAATGTGCTTAAATATTCATCTTTTGGGTTCCTTTGATGAGACCAGAATTTTAGAAAGTGCTAAAAGTGTCTTGTGATTTTTTTGTTTCTTTTGTATGATAGTAAAAGTGAAATATCTTCAGACTGCTTCACAGTTGACTCTTTACACACTGTTCATCATTCAAAGCCACTAAACACTGTTCAGTTAGCACAGACTTGGGAAATGGCAATATAGATAATCAAAGATGCTTTCACATGACACTATGCCATGTTTGTATCACATTGATTAACACTCCATAATGGGGTATTGCTTTTGATGTGTAACTTATACAGTGCCTTTTTAGTTTTTTCAAGAGGAACAAAATGCTAGTTCTGATATTATTTGTCCTAATTGAATGCCAGCACTTCCCTAGGCACGATTCAATAAATAACTGATTATTGTTGCTATTTCTTTGGGAAAAAAATCACTACATTCTCTCCTATAGAGAGATTAAAACACTAGACCTTTCGTCAGACAAATTCCTTCCGCATAAAGCCTACCTTTCCATTGTTTCATAATCTGTATCTTATTGAACTGAACAAATGAAAAATGTGTTTTAGGAGAA